GGGGGGGCAGGGTGTAGAGGCAAATGTGTATGCATGAATTTCATGTTCTACTGGAAAATTCTAATTTGGATTCCTTTAAAGTGATGGAAAATGCATCAGGAAAAAAACGGAACCCTCCCTCTGCACTGTGCCTGTCACAGTCTTGATTCTCTTGGCCTTCTGAAGAAGCGTTGAGATACTTGTGCAGTAATGCTAGTCAGAACCAGCTCATAGCTTATTAATAATATGCATTTGCTACTTTTAGTGTACATGAAAGTGTGATTTACCTGAAGTATCATGATTTAATTGTCATATTTTTTTTCCTTTTTTTTTTTTTAAATTTCCCAGGTATGGGGTAATTCATGGGGCAGCATCCTCGGAACTACAGCCACTAGACAGAGATGTTGAGGAGGAAGAAGAAGACTTGACACTGTTTGATGTGAAAGATGCAAAACGACCATTGAAATAGATCACACTAAAATTATTGTATTAATTACCTCAGAGTAAAGTTAAGAGATACAAACATTTAGTAGCTATCAAGGAGCCTTAGCAATACAAGAAATTGTCATGCATTCAACCCCTGTTTACTTGTTTGATCTCAGTGCAGTAAATCCAGGAAAAACTTTCATCGTCCTAATAACAGTTAAATGTAGGAGGTAATCCCAATACAATCTATTAAATGTCAATTGGGGATGAAAAACAGCCCTATCTATCCCTATTGTAAGTAGGGATGAAATTAATTCTTTAGAGAGTGGGGGTGCATGGCACGGCACTGGGAACAGATTTCCTCCCCCTTGCTTTGAAGTCCTCCTGCACATAACTTGTTTAACCATTCAGCATTCCTTTAGGTGTGTAGGAGCATAAGGATGAATTACTTACAGTGTCACCATATCTTATTCATTTTGAGTAGTTTTATTTATTTTAGTAAGTTAGAAAGTCTTATAGTGTTACAGTGTTAACTTGGCTTAGTGGAAACCATCTGGGTATCAAGAAGAGTGTCCATTCTAACACTTAAGTCAAAATTTTTACTTATCAACATGTCTTAATATCTTAATAGGACTCATTGTTGATTATTAATGGAAAAATTTAGAATTGCTTGTGACAAATTAGTGACACCCACTAACTTAAGCCGCTTTTTATGTACTAACAGGCATTATGATAATTTTGGAAAGAATTGGGTACAATATCTAAAAGTTGATATTTGTAAGTATTTGTTATCCACACATTAATCTTTTAGGTGATCCAAGATAATTAGATGTAACAGTTTTTCATGAACCACAGGAAACTTGCCAAGTTTAAAGAATTGGGTATAATATCTAAAAGTTGATATTTATAAGCAACTGTTATCCACACATTAATCTACCAGGTGATCCTAGATAATTAAATGTAATGATATTTCATGAACCACATGAAATTTTCTTTGCAGACACTTTTTCTTTGGTTTACTACTTGCTGAAAGGGGCAAATAGCTCATTGACAGATTTTAAGTGACAGCACCTAATCCAGCACTGGCAAATATATATATTTACAGGTGAAGTAAAGAAGCAAAATTTCAAAGAAAATTCACTTGTGAGGTTTTATTTTGTGGTAACTTGTTTTTGTGGATTGCAGAAAATCTGCCAATCCAGTCACTTCTTCAACTTGTCAACCCACCCACACCATTCGTCAACTCACTGACACCTGAAATCGACTCTCTAACAGTCATCTTTGGTCTTTGATAGCAAGTTAAACCATAGAAACTACTGTCAGGGAGTCGACCAAAGTTGTAGGGAAGGTGATGTCGATAAGTTGACATGTTGGCCAAGTGACTGATAACCCCTGCAACCCTATATGGCAAATGAATCCAAGCTCCTTGTTTTTTTCTTTCCTTCTCCTTTTTTCAATCCCAGAAGGATTGAAGCAACTGCGGTAATCAGGCTTTCCTAGAATAACACAAATTGAGTTGTAATGCAGAATGATGTGAAGACAAAGTATTCATGGGATGATAAGGCGGTTCACAGTTTTTAATGCGAGATCCTATATCCATCATTCATATGGACATGATGTGTTAAGACTTGTTGTTTAGGACACAACTTTTCATCATTTAAGTTAAACTCAGAGAATGAATTTTAAATGTAAACATGGTTATTTAACAGTTATATTGTGAGCATTGCCAACAAGGCATGTAGCATCAAGTTGGCTGTAACCAATCTTGTATCCAGAACGTGCGAACCTTTTTTCCAAAATTTTGAGCTGCGGATAATCTCCAGGCTTTTATGGTAATTGTTTCATCAAACGTATATGTGCACGATCCTTCGCAGTAAAGCACTATTTAAGCAATAGTGAAAATCAGACCTGAAAAAAAATCAGGCC